GGCGGATGGGTGCAGGTGAAGCTGAGATCACACCCTGCACTCCAGCCTGGCAACAGAGCAAGACTCGCATCTCAAAAAAAAAAAAAAAAGGCCAGGCACGTGGTTCACGCCTGGTAATCCAGCCACTCTGGAAGCCAAGGTGGGGTGGATCACAAGGTCAGGAGATCGAGACCATCCTGGGCTAACATGGTGAAACCCCGTCTCTACTAAAAATACAAAAATTAGCCGGCCATGGTGGGTGCACCTGTAATCCCAGCTACTTGGAAGTGAGGCAGGAGAATCACTTGAACCTGGGTGGGTCGGTGAGGTTGCAGTGTGCTGAGATCTTGCCACTGCACTCCGCCTGGGCGACAAGGGCGAAATTCTGTGTCAAACAAAACAAACACAAAAAAAAGGCAGTAATAGCCCCTGATGTGGCACAGTGATCTCAGCTCACTGCACCCTCCGCCTCCCAGGTTCAAGCAATTCTCCCGCCTCAGCCTCCCGAGTAGCTGGGGCTACAGGCATGAGCCACGAGCCACCATGCCCAGCTAATTTTTGTATTTTTAGTAGCGATGGGGTTTCACCATGTTGGTCAGGATGGTCTCAATCTCTTTACCTCGTGATCCATCTACCTAAGTCTCCCAAAGTGCTGGGGATTACAGGCGTAAGCCACCATGCCCAGCCACCTCTCAGTATATTTTTCACTGCAAGCTACCCATTCCAAGGGTTGTGGTGTTTAGTATTTTTCATGGTTTTGTTTTTGTTTGCTTTGTGGAAAATAATGCTCCTACTATTTTTGTTTCAGTCTGCAAGTGCAAACGTACAATAAATTCTCTGGTGGCTGGATAAAAATTACTAGATCTTGGTCAAGTTTAAATTTACAAACTTAAAAAAAGTGGTGAAGTGTATCAATTGATCCTTCATTTGTACATAATTGTTCTCTGTAGTCATCAACACTAATATTATCTTAATAGGCTAGTTTTGTCTTCCTACTCAGTTTGAAGTGGGAACTATTTGACATTTCCTAATTATCAAGGATATGATACTTTTTTTTCTTTTTTCTTTTTTCTTGTTTCTTTTTATTTTTTAGTAAAATGCTATACATGAAATCTTTAGTTATTTTTGGCTGGAGTGCAGTGGTACAGTTTTGGCTCACTGCACCCTTGACTTAGCGGGCTCAAGCAATCCTCCCACCTCAGCCTTCCAAGTAGCTGAGACCACAGGTGTGCACCACCATGCCTGGCCAAGTTTTGTATATTTCATAGAGACAGTGTTTCACCATGTTGCCCAGGCTGGTCTCAAACTCCTGGGCTCAAACGATCCGCCCACCTCAGCCTCCCAAAGTGCTGGGATTATAGACATCAGCCATCACGCCTGGCCAAAATATTTATTTTCTTTTATATGTAAATGTAAATAAACCTTACAGAGAGCACCCAGGCATGCAGATGAACTTGTCAAGCGGGAGAGTTGCCTGGAGCCAAATTTCTTCCTGCTCAGACCCTTGTCCTAATGACTTAAGAAAACCCCTTCTAACTGTGTAGATCTTTTCATGTATGGCGCACAGGAGTGCATGGAAATGAGAGAACCTGGGACAACAGCCCCTAGAGTGTCTGTCTGGGAATCACTTTCTCCTGAAACTGGAGAAAGGAGATTTTACAGTTTTGTTTTGTTTTGTTTTTTTGAGACGGAGTCTAGCTCTGTCACCCAGGCGGGAGTGCAGTGGCGCGATCTGGGCTCACTGCAAGCTCCGCCTCCCGGTTACACGCCATTCTCCTGCCTCAGCCTCCCAAGTAGCTGGGACTACAGGCACCTGCCACCACACCCGGCTAATTTTTTTTGTGTGTTTTTTTAGTAGAGATGGGGTTTCACTGTATTAGCCAGGATGGTCTCGATCTCCTGACCTTGTGATCTGCCTGCCTCAGCCTCCCAAAGTGCTGGGATTACAGGCATGAGCCGTGGCGCCCAGCCCTTTTTTTTTTGAGATGGAGTCTCGCTCTGTTGCCCAGGCTGGACTGCAGTGGTGCAATCTCAACTCACTGCAACCTCTGCCTCCCAGGTGCAAGCGATTCTCCTGCCTCTGCCTCCCAAGTAGCTGGGATTACATGCATGCACCACCATGCCCAACTAATTTTTGTATTTTTAGTAGAGACGGGGTTTCACCATGTTGGTCAGGGTGGTCTCGAACTCCTGACCTCAGGTGATCCACCCGCCTCGGCCTCCCAAAGTGCTGGGATTACAGGCATGAGCCGTCCCGACGCAGATTTTATGTTCCTTTGGAGGTATGAAATTACCTGTTAATTTTATATAATCATGGGCAAATTCACCATCAGACCATTGTGGACGTCAGTGAAGTCCCTTGAAAATTGATACTGTCGGCCGGGCGCGGTGGCTCAAGCCTGTAATCCCAGCATTTTGGGAGGCCGAGATGGGCGGATCACAAGGTCGGGCGATCGAGACCATCCTGGCTAACACGGTGAAACCCCGTCTCTACTAAAAAATACAAAAAACTAGCCGGGCGAGGTGGCGGGCGCCTGTAGTCCCAGCTACTTGGGAGGCTGAGGCAGGAGAATGGCATAAACCCGGGAGGTGGAGCTTGCAGTGAGCTGAGATCCAGCCACTGCACTCTCAAAAAAAAAAAAAAAAGAAAATTGATACTGTCAATCTATTCTTCAAGGTCAGCAAAGCCCAGATGACATGATTATGGATCTTCCAGAAAGTGCTCTTCTGACATTTTATCTCCATGTGTATATGTATTTGTGCTACAAATTGGTTGGAAGCAGTTCTGAGGCTCATGGGTATAAGGATTTTGTGAAGGTCTCAGTTGTAAGGGCCCCTTCTTCGTGCCTGAGCTCTGTGTTCCCAGTAACTTCCTAGCCTCATGAAATGGGACCGAAAGTAAAAGGAAAAACTGAGTCTATGATAAATATTACGTTCACAGCCGGGCGCGGTGACTCATGCCACCACATGGGGACATATATATATCGGAAACAAGTTGAAATTAATGTGTCTTTAAAAGAGTATTTCCATTCAGTCAGCAGAATCTGAGTGCTTCTAATGGCCTCAAATACTTCAGGACGATATGGGCAGCTAGACCTTGTTACAAGTTGGATTTCCACAAGCCTCCTGTCCTCTCATATATAACAAAGGGGACAGAAGATTCTCAATGTGTATTTACTTATTAAAACCTCCACCTCATTTAATCCCACATCTTCAGGAATGCTGAATGATTTGGGTCATAAGAAATTACGCTGTGGGCTGAGTGTGGTTATTCATACCTGAAATCACAACACTTTGGGAGGCTGAGGCAGGTGGATCACTTGAGGCCGAGAGTTCAAGATCAATCCGGACAACATAACAAAACCCCATTTCTAACAAAAAAAAAAAAAATTAAAAATTAGCTGGGTGTGGTGTTGCACATCTGTAGTCCTAACTACTCGTGAAGCTGAGGCAGAAGGATGTCTTAGGGGCCCAGGGATCTGAGGCTACAGTGAGTTATGATTGCTGCACTTGAGCCTGGGTGACAGAGCAAGACCCTGTCTCTTAGAAAACAACAAACACACAAAATAAGAATTTATCTCATAAAGAATTGAAGATCTTGCCTGTAATCCCAGCAATTTGAGAGACCAAGACTGGTGAATCGCTTAAGCTGAGGAGTTTGAGACCACCCTGGGTAACATGGCAAAATCCCATCTCTACAAAAAATACACACAAAATACTTAGCCTGGTGTAGTGGTGTGTTCCTGTAGTCTCAGTTACTCAGGAGGCTGAGGTTGGAGGATTGCTTGAGCCTGAGAGGTCTAGGCTCCAACGAGTTGTGATTGTACCACTGTACTCCAGCCTAGGTAGCAGAGCGAGACCATCTGTGTCTCAAAAAGGAAGGAAAAAAAATTGATCTTAAAGTTTGTCTCATTTGTGTAGGATTTCTTTCATTTTTCCGAGTTGAACTAGATACTACCATTAGAGAGCAATAAGACTTATAGTGACCACGGTAAAGATGTAGCCATAAGTTTATGTGTTCAATGTGCTGTTAAATTTCTAACAATCGAGTCATACACTAAATGTCTGGAGACCACAAAATCATGTGTGAATTTCTTATGAATCGAGTATACCTCTCATCCTTGTCAATCTCACCTATTCTCCTCTACTTACATTGGATGTTTCAGGACTCAGTGGCTTTTGAGGATGTTTCTGTGAGCTTCAGCCAGGAGGAGTGGGCTCTGCTGGCTCCTTCACAGAAGAAACTCTACAGAGATGTGATGCAGGAAACATTCAAGAACCTGGCATCTATAGGTAAGGATGACATCATTTTTTCTTTTTTCTTTCTTCTTTTTCTTTCTTTTTTTTGAGACAAAGTTTCACTTTTGTTGCCCAGGCTGGAGAGCAATGGCACTGTCTCAGCTCACCACAACCTCCATCTCCCAGCTTCAGGCAATTCTCCTGCCTCAGCCTTCCGAGTAGCTGGGATTACAGGCGTGTGCCACCACGCCTGGCTAATTTGTCTATTTTTAGTAGAGACGGGATTTCACCATGTTGGTCAGGCTGGTCTTGAACTCCTGACCGCAGGTAATCTGCCCACCTCAGTCTCCCAAAGTGCTGGGATTTTTTTTTTTTTTGAGACTGAGTCTCGTCCTGTTCCCCAGGGTGGAGTACAGCGGCGGGATCTTGGCTCACTGCAACCTCCGCTTCCCGGGTTCAGGCTATTCTCCTGCCTCAGCCTCCCGAGTACCTGGGATTACAGGTGCCCACCACCATGCCCAGCTAATTTTTGTATTTTTAGTAGAGACAGGGTTTCACCGTGTTGGCCAGGCTGGTCTCCAACTGCTGACCTCAAGTGATCCTCCCACCTGAGCCTCCCAAAGTGTGGAGATTACAGGCATGAGCCACCGCACTCCAGTGACATCATTTTTTCTTTTGTTTTCTTTTTTCCGAGACAGAGCCTCACTCTGTTGCCCAGGCTGGAGTGCAGTGGCACGGTCTCTCCTCACTGCAAGCTCCACCTCCCAGGTTCACGCCATTCTCCTGCGTCAGCCTCCCAACTAGCTGGGACTACAGGCGCCCGCCACCACGCCCGACTAATTTTTTGTATTTTTAGTAGAGACGGGGTTTCACTGTGTTAGCCAGGATGGTCTCGATCTCCTGATCTCGTGATCCGCCCACCTCAGCCTCCCAAAGTGCTGGGATTACAGGCGTGAGCCACCACGCCCGGCCGACATCATTTTTTCATATAGTCAATTAGAGAACTAGCATTTCTTGCTCATAATCACTGTTCTGAGGTTTGGAATCTGAAAAGGGAATACTTCTGTAAATAAACCAAGCATGGTTACAGCTCATTGTGAACCTATATTTGTATAATTTTTAATAATTTATCATGATTATTCTTGATCTACATTTTAGGGGAAAAATGGGAAGACCAGAATGTTGAAGATCAACACAAAAACCAGGGGAGAAATCTAAGGTGAGTTGTACTCACAAGAAATAGCAGTGTTCCTTGAAAGAATCTTAAAAATATTATGGCCAGGCATCGTGGCTCACGCCTGTAATCTCAGCACTTTGAGAGGCTGCAGTGGGTAGATCACGAGGTCAGGAGTTCAAGACCAGCCTGGTCAACATGGTGAAACCCTGTCTCTACTAAAAATACAAAAAAGTTAGCCAGTTGTGGTGGTGGGTGCCTGTAATCCCAGCTACTCGGGAGGCTGAGGCAGAGAATTACCTGAACCCAGGAGGTGGAGGATGCGGCGAGCCGAGATCACGCCACTGCACTCCAGCCTGGGCAACAGAGTGATACTCCATCTCAAGAAAAAAAAAAAAAAAGTTGTGACACTTTTAAAACAAGAAAGAAGTGCAGCTCCAAATTTATTTTATTTATTTATTTATTTATTTATTTATTTATTTATTTTTTAAATTTTTTTCTCGAGATGAGGTTTTGCTCTGTCACTCAGGCTGGAGTGCAGTGGCATGATCTTTGCTCACTGCAACCTCCGCCTCCCAGGATCAAGTGATTTTCCTGCCTCAGCCTCCTGAGTAGCTGGGATTACAAGCACGTGCCACCACACTCGGCTAATTTTTGTTTTCTTGTTTTGTTTTGTTTTGAGACGGAGTCTCGCTGTCTCCCAGGCTGGAGTGCAGTGGCACGATTTCGGCTCACTGCAAGCTCTGCCTCCCAGGTTCACGCCATTCTCCTGCCTCAGCCTCCAAAGTAGCTGGGACTACAGGCACCCACTACCATGCCTGGCTAATTTTTTGTATTTTTAATAGAGACGGGGTTTCACCATGTTAGCCAGGATGGTCTCGATCTCCTGACCTCGTGATCTGCCCACCTCGGCCTCCCAAAGTGCTGGGATTACAGGCATGGGCCACTGCGCCCGGCCTAATTTTTGTGTTTTTAGTAGAGACAGGGTTTCGCCATGTTGGCCAGGCTGGTCTCAAACTCCTGACCTCAGATGATCTACCCACCTCAGCCTTCCAAAGTGCTGGGATTACAGGCATGAGCCACTGGGCCCAAATTTATTTATTATCAGAAAATGTTTACCAAAAATGTTTTCTCAAGTGACACAGATGTCCACTGGTTGAAAAATATTATACTTGGGCCAGGCACTGTGCCTCACTCTTATAATCCCAAAACTTTGGGAAGGTGAGGTGGGCGGATCAGCAGAGGTGAGGAGATCAAGACCAGCCTGGCCAACATAGTGAAAACCTGTCTCTACTAGAAATACAAAAACTAGCCAGACTTGATGGTGCACACCTGTAATCCCAGCTACTCAGGAGGCTGAGGCAGGAGAATCACTTGAATCTGGGAGGCAGAGGTTGCAGTGAGCCCAGATCACACCACGCACTCCAGCCTGGGCAAGAGAGTGAGACTCCATCCTCTATCTCAAAAAAAAAAAAAAGAAAGAAAGAAAGAAAGAAAAATATTGTACTTGGGAACAATTTTGTTTGTTTGTTTGTTTTGTGAGACAGTCTCTCACTCTGTCACCCAGGCTGGAGTGCAGTAGTATGATCTTGGCTCACTGCAACCTCCACCCCCTGGGTTCAAGCAGTTCTTCTGCCTCAGCCCCCCAAGTAGCTGGGATTATAGGCACGTACCACCACACCGGGTGATTTTTGTATTTTTTAGTAGAGATGGGGTTTCTCCATGTTGGCCAGGCTGGTCTCAAACTCCTGACCCCAAGTGATCCACCCACCTCGGCTTCCCAAAGTGCTGGGATTACAGGCATGAGCCACCATGCCCAGCCTTGGAAACAGTATTTTAAAGCCTCACATACAACTTCAGGAAGCCAAGGCGAGCAGATCATTTGAACTCAGGAGTTCGAAACCAGCCTGGGCAACAAGACGAGACCCTATGTCTACAAGAAATAGAAAATTCAGTCAGTCGTGGGGGTGCACGCCTGTAGTCCCACCTACATGGGAGGCTGAGGTGGGAGGATTGATTGAACCCGGGAGGTCAAGGCTGCAGTAAGCCATGATTATGGGCATTACTGTACTCCAGTCTGGGCAACAGAGTGAGACTCTGTCTCAAAACGAAACCAAAAAAAAAAACCCCATACATCAACATTATTGTTCCGATAATAGCTATCAGTGACACAGGCCCTCTTGCTGAACATTGAGTATATTCATTTTTAAACAAGTGAGACAGGGCAGAAAACTATTTCCCTGAAAATGATAAAAATTTAGTTCTGCTGCCGGGTGCAGTGGCTCACGCCTGTAATCCCAGCACTTTGGGAGGCCAAGGCGGGCAGATCACTTGAGGTCAGGAGTTCAAGACCAGCCTAACCAACATGGCGAAACCCTATCTCTACTAAAAATACAAAATTAGCTGGGTGTGATGGTGCATGCCTGTAATCCCAGCTACTTGGGAGGCCGAGGTAGGAGAATCGCTTCAAGCTGGGAGGTGGAGGTTGCAGTGAGCTGAGATCGCGCCATTGCACTCCAGCCTGGGGAACAAGAATGAAACTCCATCTCAAAAAAAAAAAAGAAATTTAGTTCTGCTACCTGATGATAAATATAAAATCATTAATACACAACCAGTATTACTGTGCTTCTAATTTTTTACAGAAGCCATATGGGAGAGAGACTCTGTGAAGGTAAAGAAAGTAGTCAATGTGCAGAAACCGTCAGTCCCAATCTAAGTGTGAGGAAGAACACTGCTGGAGTAAAACCATATGAATGTACTGTCTGTGGAAAAGTCTTCATGCGTCGTTCATCCCTTACTAGACACATGAGGTCTCACACTGGATATGAGCTATTTGAGAAGCCATATAAATGTAAGGAATGTGGGAAAGCCTTTAGTTATCTCAAATCCTTTCAAAGACATGAAAGGAGTCACACTGGAGAAAAACCCTATAAATGTAAACAATGTGGAAAAACCTTCATATATCACCAACCCTTTCAAACACATGAGCGGACGCACATTGGAGAAAAACCATATGAATGTAAGCAATGTGGAAAAGCTCTTAGTTGTCCCAGTTCACTTCGAATTCATGAAAGGATTCACACTGGAGAAAAACCCTATGAATGTAAAAAATGTGGGAAAGCCTTCAGTTGTCCCAGTTCTATTCGAATACACGAAAGAACTCACACTGGAGAGAAACCCTACGCATGTAAGGAATGTGGGAAAGCCTTCATTTCCCACACAAGTGTTCTAACACACATGATAACACACAACGGCGATAGACCTTATAAATGCAAGGAATGTGGGAAGGCATTCATTTTTCCCAGTTTTTTACGAGTACACGAAAGAATTCACACTGGAGAGAAACCCTATAAATGTAAACAATGTGGTAAAGCCTTCAGATGTTCCACTTCCATTCAAATTCATGAAAGAACTCATACTGGAGAGAAGCCCTATAAATGTAAAGAATGTGGAAAGTCTTTCAGTGCACGCCCAGCCTTTCGAGTACACCTGAGAGTGCACACTGGAGAGAAACCCTATAAGTGTAAAGAATGTGGGAAAGCCTTCAGTCGGACCAGTTACTTTCGAATACATGAAAGGACTCACACTGGAGAAAAACCCTACGAATGTAAAAAATGTGGGAAAACCTTCAATTATCCTCTAGATTTGCAAATCCACGAGAGAAATCACACTGGAGAAAAACCCTATGAGTGTAAGGAATGTGCAAAAGCCTTCATTTCTCTCGAGAACTTTCGAAGACACATGATCACCCACACTGGAGACGGACCTTATAAATGTAGGGACTGTGGGAAGGCCTTCATTTTTCCTAGTGCGTTACGAACACATGAGCGAACTCACACTGGAGAGAAACCCTATGAATGTAAACAATGTGGAAAAGCCTTTAGTTGTTCTAGTTACATTCAGATACATGAAAGAACTCACACTGGGGAGAAACCTTATGAATGTAAGGAATGCGGGAAGGCCTTTATTTATCCCACAAGCTTTCAAGGACACATGAGAATGCACACTGGAGAGAAACCCTATAAATGTAAAGAATGTGGGAAGGCCTTTAGTCTTCACAGTTCCTTTCAAAGACATGAAAGAATTCACAGTTGTGAGAAACCTCTTGAATGTAAGCAATGTGGAAAAGCCTTCAGTTTGTCCACATCCTTACAAAAGCATATGAGAATGCACACTCGATAGAAACTCTATAAATGGGAGAAACGGGAAAGTTTTCAATTCTAACAGATACTTTCAAAGTTGTGAAAATTCCCAGTGAAGAGAGAAATCCTACCAGTGTAATATAGAAAGCGAGATGCAAGATAATTCATGTATAGTCAGGTACCATGTAATCATGTTTCATTGAGCAATGGACCATATACAGGTTGGTGGCCCCGTAAGATTATATAATACCTAAAACATTTCTATCAACTGCAATGTAGTAGCGGTAGAAACACCATAGTGCAGCACATTATTTAAGTGTTTATGGTGCTGGTGTAAAGCTATTGCACAGTTGTATAAAAGTACAACACAGCTGGGCATGTTGGCTCACACCTGTAATCCCAACACTGGGAGACTAAGGCGGTAGGATTGCTTGATGCCAGGAGTTTGTGACTACTCTGGTCAACATAGTGAGACCCCGTCTCTACAAAAACTAAAAACATTTTCTAAGTGTGGAAGTACACCCTGTAGTCCCATCTACATGGGAGGCTGAGGCAGGAGGATTGCCTGAGCACGGGAGTTCAAGGCTACAGTGAACCAAGATCAAGCAATGGCAGCCCAGCATGGGTGACAGAGTGATACTTTGTATCAAAGATTAAAAAAAGTAAATTGGCTGGGCACAGTGGCTCATACCTGTCATCCCAGCACTTTGGGAGGCTGAGGTGGGAGGATCAGTTGAGGTCAGGAGTTCAAGACCGGCCTGGTTAACATGATGAAACCCTGTCTCCATTAGAAATACAAAAGTTAGCTGGGTGTGGTGGTGCGCCTGTAGTCCCAACAACTTGAGAGGCTGAGACAGGAGACTCGCTTGAACCTGGGAGGTGGAGGTTGCAGTGAGCCGAGATCTGCCACTACGGTCCAGCCTGGGTGACAGAGCGAGAGACTGTCTCAAAAAAAAAAAAAAAGAAAATTACGGCACATATAATTATGTGCAATATATACTTGATAATAAATGGCTACATTACTGGTTTATATATCTACAATACTGTTTTAAAATGTATTCGTATTTATTTTTTTAACAGTAAGACAGTCTCAGGCAGGTCCTTAAGGAGATATTCCAGAAAAAAGGCATTGTTATGATAGGCGATGACGGCTCCATGTGCAGGACTGCCCCGAACGTATTCCAGCGGGACAAAACGTGAAGGCGGAAGACAATATTGATGATCCTCACCCCGGGTAGTCCTACACTAATGTGTGTTTGTGTCTTAGTCTTTAACAAAAATAATATTAAAAGTAAAAAAGAATTAATAGAAAAAGCTTATAGAATATGGACATAAAATATTTTTGTACAGCTGTACAATGTGTTTTAAGCTAAATTATTACGTCAAAGGTTTTAAAAATAAGTTTATAAAGAAAATAATGTACAGTAAGTTAAGGTTTATTTATTATTGAGGAAAAAATGTTTTTATGAATGTAGTGTAATCTAAGTGTACAGTGTTTATAAATTCTCCATTAGTGTACAGTAACATCGTAGGCCTTCCCATTCACTCACCACTCACTGACTCATCCAGGGCAACTTCTAGTCCTGCAAGCTGTGTTCATGGCAAGCGTCCTATGCAGGTGCATCCTTTTTTATCTTTTATACTGCATGTTTACTGTGTGTATTTTCTATGTTTAGACTCATAAATACTTAACATTTTGTTACAATTTTCTGCAGTGTTCAGTACAATAATACGCTGTATGGTTTATAGCCCAGTAGCAATAGACTGTACCATATAGTCTAGATGTGTTGTAGCTATACCATCTAGATTTGTGTAAGTTCACTTTGTGATGTTTGTACCATAAGGAAATCACCTAACAACATGTTTCTCAGAACATATACCCATGATTAAGCAACTTCTGACTGTATAATGCTCCAGAAAATTCACACCATGATATAAATTCATCACACATGATATAAAAGTTAAGGCTAGGCATGGTGGCTTATGCCTATAATCCCAACACTTTGGGAGACCAAGGCAGGCAGATCACCTGAGGTCAGGAGTTTGAGACCAGCCTGGCCAAGATGGTGAAACCCCATCTCTACTGAAAATACAAAAATTAGCTGGGTGTGGTGGCATGCGCCTGTAATTCCAGCTACTTGGGAGGCTGAGGCAGGAGAATCATTTAAACCTGGGAGGTGGAGACTACAGTAAGCTGAGATTGTGCCACTACACTCCAGCCTTGGCAACAGAGCAAGACTCCATCCTACACACCAAAAACTTAAAAAAATTTTTTTTATCACTGGCTTATGCTTCAAGTACATCTCTGGACATCAATTGTAACATTACTTTTCCAAGAAATCCTGGAGGTGAGATAATTCTGTAAGTACTCTTTAAGCAGTAGTCGAAAGTTTAAAAGGTTGTGTTTTCTCATTAAATCAGTTAGTAAAACTTTTCTCTTTTGATGTCTTGATTCACGAGTAAATTGAAGTGTTTTGGGTTTTTTTTGAGACGGAGTCTTGCTCTGTCCCCCAGGCTGGAGTGCAGTGGCGCGATCTCGGCTCACTGCAAGCTCCACCTCCCGGGTTCACACAATTCTCCTGCCTCAGCCTCCCGTAGCTGGGACTACAGGTGCCCACCACCACACCCAGCTTTCTTTGTATTTTTAGTAGAGATGGGGTTTCGCCATGTTAGCCAGGATGGTCTCGATTTGCTGACCTCATGATCCGCCTGCCTCGTCCTCCCAAAGTGCTGGGATTACAGGCTTGAGCCACCATGCGCAGCCTGAAGTGTATTTTTTTTTTCTTTTAAAGACCAGTGTTAATAGAAGTGTATTTTTAATATACAATTAATTTTAATTTGTATATGGTTTCAACGTTGTCTGAATAAAAGAGGAGTTGTTGAAGACTTGAACATTGGTAAAGTGTAGACTTTTCCTACTGGCCTCAATGTGCAGGTGTTCGTATATTATCCATTATGTATTTGTCTTCACCTTTCCTTTTGCGGAGAAACACTTTTTAATTTCTTGGCCAGACACGGTGGCTCCCCTCCGCCTGTAATCCCCAGCACTTTGGAAAACCCAAGGCAAACATGCACTTCGAGGTCCGGAGTTCAAGACTAAGCCTGGCCAACATGGTGAAACCCCATCTCCCGCCCCGGGCGCAGGGTGAGCTCCAGCCTAGTCCATACCCACAGCAATTGGGAGACAAGCCGAGCGACGGGCGATCACCGAGGGTCAGAGAGATCAAGACCTCCTTGACTAACACTGGTGAAAACCCCCATCCTCTACAAAAAATACAAAAACTAGCCGGGCCGTGTGGCGGGCGCCTGTAGTCCCAGCTACTCGGAGCTGAGGCAGAGAATGCAGTCAACCCGGGGAGGCGCGAGCTTGCAGGTGAGCTGAGATCCGGCCACTGCACTGACTCCACGCGCGCAGAGCCGATGGACTCCCGTCTCAAAAAAAAAAAAAGAACCCTAAAACAACCTTTCATACTAAAAATAGACCAAAGTTAGCCCGGGCAATTGGAAGGGTGCCTGTAATCTCAGCCTTATCTGCGAGCTGAGGCAGGAGAAATTGGCTTGAACCTGGAAGCAGAGGTTGCAATGAGCCGAAGATCACGCCGAACTCAGCCTGGACCAACAGACCGAGACTCACAACCATGAAAAAAAAAAAAAATGTAATAAATTTCTTGCCGGAACGCAGTGGTTTCGCCGCTAATCCAGCAACTTTGGGAGGCTGAGGCGGGGGATCACGAAGGTCAGGAGATTGAGAACCATCCTGCTAACACAGTGGAAACCCCGTCTCAACTAAAAATACAAAAAAAAAAAATGAGCCAGAGTGGTGGCGGAGCCTGTAGTTCCCAGCTACTCCGAGGTTGAGGCCGGAGAATTAGGCGTGAACCACAAAGGCGAGCTTGCAGTGAGCCGAGATCGCGCCACTGCACTCCAGTCTGGGCGACAGAGCGAGACTCTGTCTCAAAAAAAAAAAAAAGAACGAAAACTTACCCAGTGATGATGTGAACAAGCCGGCACCAGATGGGAAAGCGACTGAGCCCAGGTTGCCTTACCCCATTCACCTGCGACGGCACCAGTAGGTCCCCAAGGGCAGAGGGGAACTTCATAAGCCAGTCATCTTCCACGATTCTCAAAGACCGCGGACCCCCATCCCACAGTAACAATCTTAGGCTCCCCCAGATGCCGCAGTAACTATCTCAGGAAAGTCCGTTATGCAGCACCGCCTGTGGCGACCGAGAAGACCTTGCCATCTCCCTCGGTCTCCTGGAACACTGTGTTGGGCTCTCCGGCCGGATCTTGTCCCTCACACGCGACAACCAAGCTCAGGGGATGATATCAGAGTGATCACCAAGTGGGGCCCGACCAGCGGTGCGACTGCGCCAGACCTGGACCTTCCCCTACCCCACCAGATGCCACCTGATCAAGGTCTCACTCCAACCTGTATCTCGGCCCAAAGCAGTCAGAGGGTAGCCTGCTGGGCCCGGGCCACCCTCCACGGATTTCCTGAATGGCTAGGGCTGATTCCCAGCCTCTACAGGCGGGCTTAGAAAAATTTGGGAGAGTCCAGCTGGGTGCAGTGGCTCACGCCTGTAATCCCAGCACTTTGGGAGGCTGAGGCAGGCGGATCGCCTGAGGTCGGGAGTTCCAGACCAGGCTGACCAACATGGAGAAACACCGTCTATACTACAAATACAAAATTAGCCGGGTGTGGTGGCACATGCCTGTAATCCCAGCTACTAGGGAGGCTGAGGTAGGAGAATCGCTTGAACCTGGAAGGCAGACATTGCGGTGAGCTGAGATCATGCCATTGCACTCTAGCCTGGGCAATAGGAGCAAAACTCCATCTCAAAAAAAAAAAGAAAAAGAAAAATTTGGGAGAGGCTGGGCATGGCAGCTCAAGCAAGTCATCCCAACACTTTGGGAGGCTGAGGCGGGAGGATCACTTTAGTCCAGGATTCTGAGGTTGCAATGTGTTCTGATCAGGCCAGCACACTCCAGCGTGGGTGACAGAGGGAGACTCAGTCTCCAAAAAGATAACTCAGAAGAAATAAGCAATTTTGAGGCTGGGCGCAGTGGCTCACACCTGTAATCCCAGCACTTTGGGAGGCTGAGGCAGGAGGATCACCTGAGGTTGGGAGTTTGAGACCAGGCTGGCCAACATGGTGAAATCCTGTCTCTACAAAGAAAAAAGTTAGCCATGTAAACACACATCGGACAACACATCTGGCTGAGGCTACCCGGTTGCAAGTAACCCGCGATGTGAGCCTTCACCGTCTCTACCTAAAAAATACAAAAAAAAAAACTAGCCGGCCGAGGGGCGGGCGCCTGTAGTCCCCGCCTCCGGGGAGGCTGAGGGCCGGGAATGGCCGTGAACCCAGGAAGGCGGAGCCTTGGCAGTGAGCTGAGAATCCGGCCAGGCACTCCAACCTGGGCGCAGCGCGCGAGGACTCCGCCTCAAAAAAAAAAACAACACAAAAAAAAAAACAAAAATGAAGTCTTCTAGAAGGCAGAAGGCAGTGAAATGTGGCAAGGTAGTCTGGGGAGAGCACCCCAAGGGCGCTTCTCTACCTTCTGCGTGGGGCCCCATGGTAGGAAGTCGCCAACCCAAATTGTTTATTTATTTTATTGAGACCATAGTCTCACTGTGTGCGACCCACACCTGCGGCGGCAATGGCACGACTGGGCTATCGCTGCCACTGCGACCGTCACAACTCCCAGGTTCAAGGCGATTCTCCTGCCTCAGCCACCTGAGGAAGCTGGGCTACAGGTGGCCCCGCCACGCACACCGC